TTGTTGTGGTGGTGGTGTTTCCTCCCTCCCTGGCCCTCATTTACTCTATTGGGAGTATTTATTCCTTGCATCCTCTTGGTTGTGATAACCTCTTCAAACTGAAATTTTCTTTCTAGTGTTTTCTGTAGAGCTGGTTGGTGAGCAGAAATTGCTTACATTTGTTTTTATAGTAAAAAGGTTTTCTTTCTTTTGTGGATTGTAATTTCTCGGTATCCTGGTCTGAGCTTGTATCTTTGACTCTTGACTTTCAGAGCTTATGTTGAAAATTGAAAAGTCAGGTTTATTCTAATAGGCTTGATGTTATATATGACTTAGCCTCTTCCCCTTGCAACATTAATATTCTTTTTTTTGTTCTGTGCATTTAGTGTTTTGATTATTTTGTGTCATGGGTATTTCTTTTCTGGTCCTGTCTAGTCAGTGGTCTGTATGCTGCTTTGATAAGCTGCATGAACCAAAAGCTGGTAAGAGTTTGGTTCAATTATTGTTCTCTGTACTCTGATACCAGAGATTTCCAAATAAGGTGCTGCGCTTAGTCCCTATGTTGATCTCTAAGACTGCCTAACAACATCACGTGCTAGGTGGCTTACCCACATGGATTCATTTTCTCAAAGTTCTAGTCACTACAGGATTCAGATGGTAGCAGGGCTGACATCCTCTGAGGCTGCTTATGGATGACTTTCCTCTTTTTGCCTCTTTTATATGGTCATTCATCTGTGTATGTGTGGCCCTGATGCCCGCCCCTCCATATATATATATATATCCCGTTCCTGTAAAGATACTGAGCTAATGATCTCATTTAAACTCTAAATATAATCATTCTCAGTTACTTGGGTTAGGACTTCAAAATATGAATTTTGGATATCCTCAGTCAGACCATTAAAATCCCTAATAGTTTTTTATTTTATTGATAACTGACTTTATCCAGTGTTTCTGAGACTTTACACTTCTAACTCTTTAAGGTCTCAGCTGACATCTTTGTCTTTTAAGAAAATATCATAGATGTTTAAAACAAATGGAGACTGGCACATTTAAAAACTGCTGTTCTGAACCGGTATCTCTCACACATACACACAATATAGAAGAAGCTTTGCTACCTTATTCTGCACAGTTCTTGACTGAAAGGTTCCCTCCTTGTTCTTCCATTTTAGGATGGTAAAAGAGTAGGATGTATTCAGTAGTAATCTTATTCTTACTTCTGTTGAATTTGAGAAGTTAGACATAAGGGCTAAATAGATTGAAGTTGGATAGATAGTTGGAGTGTACAGTAGGAAATGCTGTATATTTTATATTATAAAACATTAGGAGAAATCTATTATCTGGTTGTTCCTAATTCAGAATGCTACAATCGGATTAGTGGATGACTGCATGATTCCTTCATTATAATCTTATATTTTTCCCTTGAAAGTGAGTATGTTCTGTGTGGTATTTTGACAGTATATGATTTCAACATACTAAAACAGATGATTCATACAGCAAAAAAAGTTATGTAAACTTTATATCAATTCATAAAGATTTTCCTTGCTCTTTTAAATTTCCGCATAGTACCCCATCCGCACCATTGTTTCCACGTGCAGTTTCCTAATGCTGGATCTCTTAGATGTTGTTTGCACTCTTTTGTTGATGCTTCTGGGTTTAACTCACACATACATTGTTTTCAACTTCTATAGAAAAGCCATCTGGAAAGAATCTGTATCCTAACCATCTGTGATTGTGTCAAATTCCATTCCATTGTATGAGAGTATGCCTTTCTATGTAGAGTATGTCACCAAATTTCTGGATATCTGTGCATGTCTTAAATGAGGAGCGGTGTGTCATTGTTGGGTCAACTTTCTTTTTACTTGCTTGTCCTGGAACTGGTGACATCTTCATATATTCTTGAAGAGCCGTTTTATGATTCTGAGAATTATTTATTTGTACTCTGTGTTCATTTTTTTTCTTCTTAATTTCTAGGATCTCTTAGAAAGATTAGCCATTGTGACAAGTATTAGCACATTTTTCATTTCTTAGTTTTGTTTACAATGCTTTTATCAAGCAAATTGAATTTTATATGTAGTATAATTTGTTTTTAAAATTATCTTATGGCCTCAATTTTTAATCATAATTGAAAGACCCTCTCTTCTCTTACGATTAAAAGGAGTTTGTTGATTTCTTTTTTCTTTCGTATTTACATGGGTCTAGTTTTTATTTGGAGAACTTTGATCTAAGTGGAATTTTTGTTTGTTGAGTATGACAAGAAATAAGGATCTAGCTTTTTAGATGGCCACTCAGTTTTTCTGCATTATTGAGAGAGAAAGTTCATTGTCTACCCTGACTTGAGGTATGGCCTTTTTCTCATCTGTATGTGTCTGGATGTATTTCTTGACTGTCTGGTCTGTTTGTCTTATTAGGTAATGCCCAAGCACTGTACTGTGATACCTTTATCAAGGTATTACAGTATATTCTAGTAGTCAGTAATACCAGTTCTCGAACAACCCTTGTTTTTTATTGATGATATTCAGAACTTTATGAAGGACTCTTTCTGTTATTTTTCAACATGAGCCTTATAATCAAAGTGTCTTGTTCTAGTGGGAAAAAAAAACTTGCTAGTGGTTTTACTGGGATGTCTTTAAATTAAAATTTTAACTTTGAGCAAACTGAAATTTTGATGATACTAGTTAGTCCTGTTCAAGAAGATGGTGTTTTGTCTGTAGGAATCTGCATCTGAGATTGTCAAGAATGTTTTAACATTATCTTTCTTCCTGTGTCTTGATTAATATTGACTGTACCATCATCTGTTGCTATAGTGAACATGACCTACTGTATCTTACAGCTGATGGATTTCACTTTTCTGCATTAATTTTACATCTTGAAATCTTACTACCTTTTTCTTTTTCAACCTGCTCCAGGACATGTTTGGTTTCTGTGATGCTTCTTTCTATTATTTTCCTGATGTTTAACTCAAGTAGATTTATAGCCACCCATAATGTTTTAAAGAATGTTTTAGAGATTCAAGTCTAGGATATCATCTGGCTTACTGCAGAATGTTTGACAGGGCATATTCCAGGGGGATAAAATTTGCTTGGTTGGCACAGGCTTCTCCAAATAAGATAATTATGACGATAGTAGTAATCTTACCAGATGCTATCTGTGACATTTGTTTTTAGTAGCCAGTTATGGAATAGACTAGCATTTTCTAACAGAACTGAGCATGTATGATTGCTTCCCACAATAAGCTTTAATTATAATTATCTCTCATTTGTTTATATTCTATCTTCCATTCTCTAAATCAGTAGGCAGTACTTTTTCTGACCAGTATAGGGCCAGATGGTAACTATTTTAAGCTTTGCAGGCTTTCAAGTCTTTTTGACCATAGATTGTAGTAAACAAATATAGTACAGTTCCAGCAAGATCTTAATTATGAATTGGTAGTGGACTAGATTTGCACTCTGAGCTAGTATTTGCTGTCCTTTGCTCTAAACCCATCTGTTGAAAGGTGTGTGTGTGTGTGTGTGTGTGTGTGTGTATACACACATGCACATGTGAAAGTCAGAGATTGTTGATCCACAGTCTGTCTCCACATTTTTTTGAGACAGGGTCTTTCTCTGCACCTGGATCTCATCAATTAGGCTAGCTTGGGGATTTAATAGGGTCCATAAGGATTCTCTTGTTTTGAATTCCCCAGCTCTAGGATTACAGTTGTATGCCTCCATATTGGACTTTTTTCCTGGGTTCTAGAGATTAAACTCAAGTCTTCAAGCTTACAGAGCAAGCCATTTACTGACTGAGTCATGTCTCCAGTTCAATTAAGTCACATATTTGTTTAAAATGTTGTTCTATAGCATTAAGAGCTTCTTAGGTTCCTTTGTTTTATCGTAACTGTATGACATCATATATATTTAATGGGGTTTCCCCCTTTAGTATTTCTTGGAACTTTTCCAAATTTTATAATATGGATAGCTTAACTTTTTAATAAATTTATTTCTAAATATGTTCAGATACAAGAAATATAAAAAAAATTTTCATCTATTTTCATCTATTTTCTTGTTTTTGGAGCTCATACTATTTCAACAGAAGTTGAAACTCTGGAAAATAACTGTGCAATCCAGTTTTTCTTTTAGTAGTCTCTGAAAATGGTGATTTTTTCGAAACACCAGCTGATCTTTGACTTTAATAATCAGTCAAGTTAATCAGTGGGATTCATCAGACATAAAAGAAGCAAATTACAAGTGTATTCAGAACATTTTAAACAAATGCCACCTCAGTCTTTTAGACAGTTCTGTCCTGATGTGTCATCCTTTCGAAAGGAGTTAGATGTTTAAGACATTGAAGTTCATGTTTGAGTCCTAGTTTCATCTCAGAAATTGCAAAGGCGATGATGTTTGATGAGATGGTGACAATGGTTCATTGTGCATTATGGTAGCTGCTGTCACAGAACAGACAGGACCTGCTGCCAGACATTCCTTCTTTTAGTAAATACAACGGATTCACAAGAGAAGGCTTCCTGTGGTGGTTTTGATGAGCTGTGAGGTGTCATCGTGTGAAGAATGAGCATACAAAACTAGAAACAGAAAGGATAGCCTGTGTGATTGGAGACTGAAAGCAGAAGAGAGGCTTTCCTTGAAAGCAGGAGGTTGTTTGCCTGTCAGCTCTGCTGCTTGCCCTCCCACAAGTAGGCTTCTAGAAACTGCAAGCAAGCCGGCCCTGAAGCAGCTCTCGGGCTCCCCCTGTGGCTCTTCTACTGCATCCTCAGTGGAAACTGCACTGAGTAGTTCCAGCAGTTCTGTAGTTCCAGCAGTACTTTACGCCTTGTCCCTTTTCTCTCCACATGTAATGAAAACAAAGGAACTTGAGAATGTGGGGGAATTTTCTGGGTTTAACATTAGGTAGTGTGTACAATGGTCATAAAAACCTGTAAATGTGCTCTACCAAAGAAAGATGTCTGCTCCCTTTCAGAAGAGAGAGTTACCCACTTTGCTCCAATACAAGGACTTCTTGTCAGGGATATTAAGAGTGCCAGGAGAGTACTTGCTTCAGCAGCACACACATTAAAATTGGGAGAATACAAAGATTAGCATAGTCCCTGTGCAAGGAGGCCAGGCAATTCATGAAGTGTTACATATTTACAAAAAAAAAAAAGTGCCAGAGAAAAAGTTGTTCCGAATACAGCAGAATCTAACCTTTTTGTTTTGAGATACACCAAGTGGTTAAATAGTCTATGCTTGGGAGACGGTAATTTTGATTGAAATCAAGTATCATTTTAATCTAATGAAGATGTTATGTTTTTTATTCATAGGAAGAGACTTTATTTGCAGTGGATGTTCTGTTTAATAAATCCTTGAAAACTTTGATTTATATTATCTGTTCTTCAGAATAACCCTATAGACTGTGGTTATTTACTTGTTTTAAAGGGGTTTGTTGATGATGTTGACAGTTTCAAAGGCATATATATTGAATTTTAGTTACTCTTACCACCCCCCCCCCATTACCTTATTATCCCCCGGCTTCTTCACTGAATCCTTTCTTCTTCCCAGTAAGCCTCCTTCCTGCATCCCCTGCATCCATGTCTTCTTATGCACGTTACCCACTGTACTCAAATAGGACTTTGCATGAGCATGGCTAGCTTACTTACTAGGCAGCTTTGTACCACCAAAGAGTGACACTCCTTCCTCCAGCCACTGTTAACTTGGTAATCGCTCAGGGAGGTGTGAGGCCTCATGAGCTCTTCCCCTTCCGTGATGAAAGTTTGATGACCCTATCGTGTACAGGGAACCACAGCTGCAGTGAGTTTATATAGAAGGCATGTCCTAGTCAGAAGGTATTTTACATCAGGTTTCCCCAATATGGCTCTTAAATTCTTTTGCCCCTTCTTCCATGATGTTCCTTTAATATTGAGGGCATGTATACATGTGCTATGCATATCCTTTTAACAGCTGAGCACTCCGTAGTCACTTATTGTCGGCACTTTAACCAGTTGTGAATCTTCTGCTGAGGGCTGCACTAGTCTGTGAGTACAGACTAAACTATAGAAGGCAGTTCTACTGTGTCTGTTGAGCAAAATAGTAAGTTCTCCCCTTGGGACTATGGCATCCATACATTGGGTTCATAGCTGGGCTTACAGTCCTGGACAAGAGTTCTGTCCTGTGGGGCAGGCCTTAAATCCAACCAGCAGGTGGTGTGTTGCCCCCATGGTGTTCCTGCCAGTATTATAACAATCATGCCAGATTGATTGTTAACTGTAGTTTATCTCTGGATAAGAATCTTAAAAGATTTACCTCCTAGGAGCCTTCATAGAATCTCTTAGACCTAAAGCTTCATCACTGTTTTCTGTTCATCTGCAATGGCTTATCTGACTTCACTGAAAATAAATCAGATCCAGCTCCTGCAAACTCAAAGTTACTTAAAATTATCTTGCTTCCTAGATTGACGGTCACTAAGGCTGTTGACTGTGATGGTTAGTGTAAATTGCCTGTTTGACATAATGTACTTGGGAGATGGCCCCCAGATATGCCTGTGGGGAATTATACTGATTATGTTGATATGGGAAGACACACCCACTGTGGGTGGCACCCTTCCATGCATGGAATCCCAAACTGCTATGTAAGTGTAGAAAGGGAGCTGAGCAGCCGCTTGCATTTGTCCTCTGCTTCCTGATTGGATGGGATGTGATCAGGTGCTTCAAGTTCTGACACCTTGACTTCCCCACTACAGACTGTATGTACCTTTGAACTATGAACCAGAATATACCGTTTATCTTTAAAGTTGCATTTATCAAAGTATTTTATCATAGCAATAGGAAAAGAAATTAAGACACTTAAGAGTTATAGGGGTTTTGTTTTGCTGGACACACTGTTGGACATAAATGACTTCTAGCTTTAAGGAAAAATATTTTATTTTTAATTATGTAAATATGTGAGTGATTGTGTGCATGTGGATGTGGTGTCCAAAATGTTGAGAGAGGGATTCAGAACCTCTGGAGCTGGAGTGAACTTCTGATGCCCAGTGTGGGCACTGGGAACTGAACCGGGTGGTCCTTGGCAGAACACTGTGTACTCTTAGCCACCGATTCATCTTATCGGCCACATCTTCTGCTTTTCTTTTTCCTTCCTTCCTTCCTTCCTTCCTTCCTTCCTTCCTTTCTTTCTTTCTTTCTTTCTTACTTTTTCCTTTCTTTTTTTTGAGAAATAACTTAAAAACTGGCAGTATTTACTAAATTAATATAAAAATATCTTGTGACTCAGCAGTGTAGTTCTAGGTATCTGATTTACCAAATAATACCTGCCCAGCTAGGTAAAGTATATCTTGAGAACATTTCTTACTCGAAATATTACAAGAATGAGAATGCCAATTCAAATGCAGTTTGTCTGTAAGCCACAGAATTTTAGATTTCTTTTTCCAGAATCACAAAGGAGTGGGGGTTTGATAGGAATGTGGCAACTGTTTTTACAGTCACTTTTTGATTGCTTTAGTATTTACTTGCCACCAGGCACCACTTAGGGTATTTTTTAGTTAGCAACTCATAAGTCTTTGCAAGCAGGCCTTAGGGATTGGTGTGTCATCTTTGTGATACAGATGAGGTGACTTGAGCTGAATGGAATAAATGTGCTACCCACAGTGTGTGTGTGTCTTCCCATATCAGCATAATCAATATAATTACCCATAGGGATATCTGGGGGCCCATCTCCCAAGTAGATTATGCCAAACAGGCAATTTACCTTTAAAGAAGTAATGTGGGGTCTGTGCATCCAGCTCCTCTGTTCTTTTAGTGCATCAGGAGAAGCACATTTATTTTAGTAACAGATTGTTACAAACAACTGCAATGTCTATTTTTGTTACTTTTCTTTATCTTTCCCAGTTTGCCCTTCTTCCTGCTTAATAAGTCTTCTTACCATGCCATCACACTTGGGTCACTCCATTGCTTAAAGGAGCTCACTCACTTTCATTTACTTGAAGCAGTATAATGCATGTTAAATAAATTTCTTTTGTCTCTGTGACAAATAACTGAATTCAAGAAGAGGAAAGATTTATTTTGGCTCATAATTTTACCCACAGTTTGCTAACTCCATTGTGTCTTGGCTTGTAGCAAGACTCAACATCATTGTGGAAAGGCATGGTAAAAAAATATATATATATATTCTTCACTTGTACTATCCAGGAAACAGAGAACAGTAACAGGAAGGGGCCACAGCTAAGATGTACCTGACAAAGACCTGACCACAGCAACACATTTCTTCTAATCAGGCCCCACCCTCAACCGTCTTTCAACAGTCTATTTGGATTTTGAATTCATCAATTGATTGTTGAACTGTAATAATTAGATTCCTCAGGATCTAGTGCTCTTTGGAAAAGCCTGCTGCATAGACACGCCCAGAGGGATGCTTTAGTGCAAACTCAATCCAATCAAATTGGCAATCAAGGTTAACCATGACATACCCTTAACTCCATAGTCAGGTTTTAGACTAATCTGACCATCCTGTCTCCTCTCCTACTCGATTTTCTATTATTCTGCTCTGCTACCTGCACTGTAAGCTAAATTATTCACCTATTCCTTTGTAAACACGCATTTACTGCTTAAAGTTTTTCTGTTTGAAAACAGTTCCAGCATTTCCTAATAGAAAGTGCCAGATGCAATTCTTGATCCCCAGACCTCAGCCATCCCACTTTTCTGGAGTTGTTTGACGTTTGTAACGTGCTTAGTGCCATCCCCGGCAGATAGTGATCCATCAGTGTAACTATCAAAATAAAGTTGAGAAAAGTACAAGATGGAACTAGAACATCTTGTTGTGGTATAAAGAAGAAAGTGTAATGGGGGCAGAAGCAAAAGCTTTCCCTTGTGGAATATTACTGACAGAGAGGGAAGGGAGTTATAAAATCAGCACTCCACACTGAAATGAGTAGGTGTTAGTTTAGTGAGAAGCAGGATATTTTTGCATAATCTCAGTTCTTTTCTTCATAATTTGCCAGTTGATTACAAGGAAAAACATAATAACTTTGCCATGGAGAAACTTGACAATCAACACTTCAATGACTCTAAATTAATAATCAAAATTAACTGTAGTGTTGGGAAAACTAATCTATATTTCCCATGTGGTCTAAGAAGATGGCATCATCCATTGGTATTTGTTTTAGGAGTTTATTACTGTTATATGATCTTGACAAAAGATCGTATAAAACCCACATTGAAGATTGGTCCACACCCAGGATATATCCTCTTCAGAGATGTCAAGAATAAGAAAAGGAAGGTGGAAGCATCCACACATATGTTGTGCAATTTCTAATGCGTTGTGTGATCTTGAGCTCAGTTTTAGAGTGGAATAAAGTCATTGCTAAGAATACTAGGTAAATGACACAATTTGAGCAGGAAGTCTAGATAAACTAACGATATTTTCATGATGTGGTTATGTGAGACAGTGTCACTGGAAAGTTTTAGGAATAAAGAACAGTGTTCTCAACTGGTTCAGAGAAGAAAATTCTGCAGCAAATAAGCAAATGAGTGCTGGATTTTCATAATGGATTTATGGGGTTTCTTTGTATTGTTAGACAGTTTTGATAAATTTGAAGTTGTAGCAAGATGAGCTTGTTTTGTTTTTGTTTGCTAGTTTCATTCTGTTTGTCTAAGGCCATAGTTGGGACACTGTATCCTAGAGAAGCTTCAGTAGTTCCTCCTTTAGGGGCACTGTGTGGAGTAACTGTTTTCTCTTTTTCTCAGACTAAAGCCAGAAACAGTTAGAGAGCACCTTGCAGGCCTCATACTGTGCACCTGAAAACAGGATGTAAGCTTTCTAAAACCATGCTTCCCATGTTTGTAGCTTCCTGCTGTTTGTCCAAAGCTATTAATAGTGTATCAAGAAAGATGTATATATTGTAGTATCTATTGTATTTGTATAATAGATTATATAGTATTTCTCAAAACTGGACATTCAGCGGTTCTTGGTTTTAAACAATCTGAGGTTATAGTCCCTGGTAAGAGCTTTGAATGTAGATCTTCTCTATTACCCATTTTCATCTATCTGTTTGAACAGGTAGATGGATTAAAATGATAATATTTCAGGACAAGTAAAGAGGTTTGCAAACATTCTTGCAAGCAAAGTCAAATCCTATTTGTTTCTTTCTCCAAGAACATACAG